TGCGCTGCCGCAGGGTTCAAAGCTATGCATTTAAAATGAACCTGTTTGGAACAGTAACATCACAGCAGTATCATGATAACATGTGTAAAAAAAGAAAAAAAAAAACAAAGGCCTAAAGAAGCACAGAGCAATCAGTACCGGGGTTAGAGGTTCCTGCAGGAACATCCTTCACAGTACTTCATGTGCGTGCGTGTGTGCGTGCGTGCGCGCTCACGGTTCCGTGTAAAGCTTTGCTTGAGAGCCCTGAGCAGAACATGGTGTTTGTTTAGAATCAAAGACAGACCCACGCACGCACTCACACACACGCTGGATTTTGAAAGAGATACTGGTTCTCCGGAATCGGCGCCTGACCTGATTCTTCAGTTGCCATATAAACAGTGCGACCTATAACTTTATGTTGTGTGAGGGAAGTGTCCACGCGCCACGGAGCGTGACACAAGAGGGCGCTTTTCATCACTTCCCCCGGGATTTGTTGAGGAAACACAGAGATATAAACAACGTCATTCAATTATGAAGAAGGCGACAAAAACACCAGTGCCGTGAGCTGGGACGGACCAAAGAACGGCAGGTTCTCTTCACCCTGATGGAGGGGTCAGGGGGGTTACACCCTGGAGGATATAGAGTGTACTACAATCAACTATAATACTGCATATGTATTTGTACTGTGGGAAGAAATCAAAAGTACCTGGAGAGAACCCACGGAGGACCAGGTATGGAACCAGCAAACTGGTGATTCTGTTGCTCATGGGCAGTATTTCCTAATGGCGCAAAATCCCGTGCTGCACTACCAAACAGAAATGTACCAAAAAGTATGTGTAAAAGAATAATAATAATCATCTACTTTTGATTTACTAACAGTAAAATCTGAGCCTGTTTAGTTGAACACAGCACTGGTACATTCAAAGGAATAGAAGAAAGCACTCCAACGGCTCTGAGACTCTTGGTACATTCAAAGGAATAGAAGAAAGCGCTAAGACAGTTCTGAGATTCTTTTTTTTTTCATTTTTACCATCTGCTGCCACCAAGTGGAAGAGTAGTTAATTGTTCTGCCTGTCACTGTGACATAGAAGAATTAAGACAAATTATATTCAGTAAATACATTTTTTAAAAATTGTCCAAACTAAATCATAAAATAATATAATAATTGAGCTGATTCAGCAGATGGACGCTAAAGTTAAACCTAATGTTTTTGTTAGCGTTAGGTCGTTGACAAGACCCTGTTGGATCACAGTCTTTTTCTTTACCGTATTCAGGAGTTAAACTTCATTCTTGCTGTGTTTTTGCTAACACTCTGCTACATTATATGCTAATATCTACAGATCTGTCCGTAAGGTTCGTTACAGGCTCGTCTACCGTATCTGCATCACACATCGCAAAGTGAACGTACAGCTGTGCAAACACCATCGAGCAGAGTAGCACACACCCACGGACCACAGGACGTTTGAGGTACTGTGGAGTACAGTACATTATTTCTAGTCTGACCTTGAACAGAAGGTCCGCATCGTTACTCTCCTGAAGTACACACTTGAGGTTTTTCCCTCGACTACTCTGAAACCAGAACAGTAGAGATGAAGTACAACAGTATAAAGTACTGCATGGCTGTATTTAGTAGGTGGCAGCACTGCGTAAAGTGGTACATTGTGTACTGCATCGTGTACAGTAGTGAGCAGTAGTAACTCTGCTCTGTTGCCTCAGACGGTGTTGCATCATGGGAGTGGAGCTGGTGTAAAAGTACCATGGGGCAGAAGAGAACCTAGTTAACACAACCAGAGCTGTGTGTGTGTGTATGTGTGAGGGTGTGTGTGTGTGCAGAAACAGGACGCCATGACATCCATCTGTCAGCCCGGCCATCTCTTCCTGTGAGAGTTTCCCGCTTTTCCAGATGTTCCTGCTGCGTGTGCATTTCCACGTGCACGCGCGCTACTGCAGGATTAGCTATTATCACCGCGGGCTCTGGGAGACGGGCTGCTGCATGACTGCACCATGCAGTTTAATGCCTGCGCTACACGAGGAGCTGAAACGGCGAACCGAAACGCCATCTAGTGGCGAAATGTGAGAGCTGACCGCTGGTTCAGTCAGGGTCAATATAAAGACGTAAAAAAAAAAACAAAAAACAGAATTATTATTCTAGAAAATTATTCTTTAAAAAATGGTCTATTTACACTGAAGCACTAGATTAAAAAATAGTTTTGAAGAACAGGAAAAAATATTCAGCAGTGGATAAATTTTTTCTTTGATGCCCAATAGAAAAATATGATTAAATAAATCATTACAAATCTGATGATTAAACCTGACTCGTCCCAACGTGTTTTACTCATTAAAATTCCGACACTTTTCTAAATTACAACATTCGTCTGAGGACTTCTTGACTGTGTGCTGTGATTCCCACAGGTCAGATTAGCACTGAACAAACAAAGAACAAAGAAGAAGAATCAGATACAATTCTGTTGCATTTTATTTTTAATAAAACTTTTTTTTAAAACCCTTCAGAATTAAGACAAAAAATCCCACCAGTTTAATTCTGGAACAAAGTAATAAATTAAGAACATTTAGCGAAACCTAATATCTGTCAAAATACAAATTTGTATTTCAGTCTGAAAACATCAGTAACATCTTATGAACATGGGTTCAACATCTTCGTCATCATCAACTGTGAATCAGATTTAAGGAAGTTATTTTTTTTATTCCACCTATGAAACCTATCATTACACTGAGCGATTTGACAAATGATCTTCATGGATTCTGACAAAAACGATTTTTAAATCTCAGACCTGGAGCTGAGAACAAAATAAAATGAAATAAAAATCTACACCCTACAGTGATTGGTCCAAACATTCACAGGGTTCTAAAGTGACCAACAGTGACTCACCGCTGGTTCTGATTCAGACCAGTGAAACTTGAGATGTTTCTGGTCGAACCAGAATTCTAATCTTCGTACCTTCATTCATCTGTTCGCCGCAGGATCGGCAATGTTCACGAACAAACTTCAACTCCCACAACCTCCCACTGGATGGCACTGCAGCAGCTTCAAGTGTCTCGAGTCACATGACACCTGACGATCCAGATGTCATTCACTGAAGTTTCAGTCCGTGTTTTTAACGGTGTCCACGTCATGAATGCGCGTGCAGGTAGAAGATCGCTCCAGAATCTTCCAGTCTCCTCAAGGCTCTGGCTTCATGGTTGACGTCGTGGTAGGAGTTCTGCAACGACCACAAACACCGCACCACGTTAGCGTCAAAGCAATCACGTAATAAACGCCACACGCGACGTCCGACACAAACCTTCATGGACGACATGGTGTCATTTCTGTAGTAGTGGATGGGCTGCCGCTGGTTGGCTGTTTTAGGATAGCCAAACCCTGCCAGGTGGACGACGTCGCAGTAGTTGAGAGCCACGAACACGGCGAGGAGACCCGTGGTGGGATGAACTGGGATCTGGAACGAGGAAGGTTCAAACACGGCCTCATTAACTCTTTCATTGGTTCAATCATCCACTCCTGTTCTACTGCTTTGTCCTTTTTCTGGGTCAGACAGGGAGCAGTAGTCCTGCCCCCCCCCTGCCCCCCACCCTCTGTGGAATAACCAGAGCGACCCCAGGATATATCGTTTTGATTGTAGCCGTGCTACAATCTATACTCCAACAACCAATCAATATAATAAACTGACACACATGATCGATTCAGCCGATGAGCGCAGCCCACAGGTTGACCTCTTGACCTTACGCCCACGTCCTATTAGACCGGGCTTATAATTGGAAAAATTCGTCCAAATTAACCTTCTTTTTTTTCCCCCTTCTTTATGGAAACGTCTCGATGGTGAATGTAGGAAGATTTTCTCTCTCTCTGTTGATGATAAATGTGAAGGAGTTGCCGGTTGAAGTACACATTCGTCCCCACATGGTGCCATGCTCGGTGGTAACTTAGCAGCCTGTGGACTCGAACCTAAAACCCTCCGCCTCCTTCACCACCAAGTCACTGCTGACTCTTTTCTAAGAATTGTTAATTTCTAAATTCTACACACAAATACTGAATTTATTCTTCTTTTTTTTACTGAATCTTTTTCTGGTCACATGATGGACCTAGAGCCAATATCAGGAATCAATTTCAAGCCTGAATCTCATTTAACTGATTCAAACAATAAACTGACTGCAGACGGTCACTCCACCACTAGATGGTGGTAGAGCGCCAGTAGCGCTCCTCAACACCTTTGTGCTTCAGAACTTCATCAACGCGTACACGCTGTTCCAAACGCAGAGTTCCTTCGGCCCTCGGCGGTGAGCGGTGTTGTTTCTACACTTCTGCCAAACGACTGGTGAAAATAAAACATCAGGTTTAACGTGAGCCTGTGGCCAAACGGTGGAACCACAGCATCCTGTGTCTGAGGAGTCGCTGCACAAAGGCAGGTCTGAGTCTGAACAGGAAACACCCCGAGAGCCAGGAACAACTCCAGCCAAATTACACTTGGAAAAAAAAAATTATATATATATAAAAGATTAAAAAAAACCTTTTGTCACAGTAGAGATATTCTTCATTAAAGTAACAACAGCAGTTTTTTTAAAAAACCCATCACCACCAGATGATACGCCACAAATGTCGGGGCGTCTACGATTGGGTTTTTTTTTGTTTTTTTTTTCCCTAAATCTAGATAATGTCCCAGTGCTGCTGTCACGATCTTTACCAAACCAAACAAAGCACGAGTGCGACCCAATTACATCAGCTCGGAGCGTGAGACAAGAGGGCGCTTTTCATCACTTCCCCCAGGATTTGTTGAGGAAACACAGAGATATAAACAACGTCATTAAATTATGAAGAAGGCGACAAAAACACCAGTGACCTGGGACGGACCAAAGAACGGCAGGTTCTCTTCACCCTGATGGAGGGG